GAAACTTGAAGCAAAGGCAAAAGAAGGGGTAGCAAGCAAGCAAGCTCTCCATTCCCCCTCTTCCCGATATATTTAACTTGAACTTCTTTTCTCAGCTGGTCAGTAATCCTTTCCAACTCCTCCGTGAATGTACAAGTCGTGTCTTGAGATGTTTTTCCGCAAACCGCGAAGGCCTTGCGGAGCCGCAGGGCTGTTGCATCCCAAAGGCTAGTTCTTCCATAAACCCTGGGCGAACCTATATATGATGTAAACTGACAAGTTTGCAAAAACCGACGTGTGTGGCACGTGGGCCAAAAAAAAACATTTTTAATCACTGCCATTGTACAAATCTTTTAAGTGTCATAAATTGCTGGTGTCCTTGTCTGGCGGCAGTCGTTTTCATACGGAGCAACAAAAAAAAAAATGCGGGCCATCCGGTTCCATAGCGAGTAAATGTGTTTGTGCTCTTCAAGACCTGGAAATCATATTTTGTTTTGGTTTTTTTACTGAAATGGGTCATACTCAAACCTCCGTGTTGCTGTAGGGTTTCCCTCTGGTGTGTACATGTGGATGTCGTATGTTTACAGATTATATATATATGTATATAGAGGAAAGATCTGTGTATAAAATTGGTGCACAATATGGCCTATCGGAATGTCAAATGTGCATGATTTCTTCATCAATATGTCTCAGGTCTGAATTGCCAGTGTCAAGGTGATTTAATGCATCAACACATCCAAAACAAAAAGGAACAGATCTAAAAGTAAAGTTAAAGGTTTCCCCTTGACATTAAGTCTATGAAATGTGAGATCAATAGGTATCACTCCGGCGGGAAGGTAACAACGCTCCATGCAGTCATGCCAGCCACATGACCTTGGAGGTGTCTACGGACAAAGCCAGCTCTTCGGATTAGAAACAGAGATTAGCACCAACCCCCTTGACTTAATGTCAAGGAGAAACCTTTAACTTTACTTTGGAATCTGTTCCTTTTTGTTTTGGATTTCATAGAATCATAGAGTTGGAGAGACCTCAGGGGCCATCCAGTCCAACCCCCTGCCGAGAAACAGGAATTCAAATCACCCCTGACAGATGGCCATCCATCCTCTGTTTAAAAGCCTCCAAAGAAGGAGCCTCCACCACACTCCAGAGCAGAGAGTTCCACTGCTGAACGGCTCTCACAATCAGGATGTTCTTCCTCATGTTCAGTGAAATCTCCTTCCTTTCTTGTAGTTTGAAGCCATTGTTCTGTATCCTAGCCTCCAGGGAAGCAGAAAACAAACTTGCTCCCTCATCCCTGTGACTTCCCCTCACATATTTATACATGGCTCTCATTATGTCTCCTCTCAGCCTTCTCTTCTTCAGGCTAAACATGCCCAGCTCCTTAAGCTGCTCTTCATAGAGCTTGTCCTCCAGACCCTTGATCATTTTAGTCACCCTCCTCTGGACATGTTTTCAAACTGCTAGGTTGGCTGGAGCTAACATTTCGGTATATTGATTATTCATGCCAAGTTTGGTCCAGATCCATCATTGTTTGAGTCCACGGTGCTCTCTGCATGTAGGTGAACTACAACTCCAAAAATGAAGGTTACTGCCCACCAAACCCTTCAAGTCCTTTCTGTTGGCCCTGGGAGTTCTGTGTGCCAAGTTTGGCTCAATTCCATTGTTGGTGGAGTTCAGAATGCTCTTTGATTGTAAGTGAACGATACATCCCAGCAACTACAACTTCCAAATGTCAAGGTCTCCCCCCCCCCCCAAACGCCACCAGTGTTGACAGTTGGACATATTGAGTATTTCTGCCAAGTTTGATCCAGAACTACGACTCCAAAACTCAAGGTTACTGCCCACCAAACCCTTCAAGTCTTTTCTGTTGGTCCTGGGAGTTCTCTGTGCCAAGTTTGGCTCAATTCCATCGTTGGTGGAGTTCAGAATACTTTTTGATTGTAGGTGAACTATAGATCCCAGCAACGACAACTTCCAAATGTCAAGGTCTTTCCCCCCAAAACACCACCAGTGTTGACATTTGGGCATATTGAGTATTTGTGCCAAGTTTGATCCAAATCTGTCATTGAGTCCACCGTGATCTCTGGATGTAGGTGAACTACAACTCCAAAACTCAAGGTCAGTGCCCACCAAACCCTTCCAGCGTTTTCTGTTGGTCATGGGAGTTCTGTGTGCCAAGTTTGGTTCAATTCCATCGTTGGTGGAGTTCAGAATGCTCTTTGATTGTAAGTGAACTATACATCCCAACAACTGCAACTTCCAAATGTCAAGGTCTTTTCCTCCCCAAACACTACCAGTGTTGACATTTGGGCATATAGATTATTCGTGCAATGTTGGTCCAGATCCATTGTTTGAGTCCACAATGCTCTCTGGATGGAGGTGAACTACATCTCCCAAAGTCAAGGTCAATGCCCACCAAACCCTTCCAGCATTTTCTGTTGGTCATGGGAGTTCTGTGTGCCAAGTTTGGTTCAATTCCATCGTTGGTGGAGTTCAGAATGCTCTTTGATTGTAGGTGAACTATCAATCCTAGAAACTTCAACTCCCAAATGACAAAAATCTCCCCAACCCCACCAGTCTTCAAATTTGGGCATAACGGGTATTTCTTTACCAATGAAAGAAAATACATCCTGCCTATCAGATATTTACATTATGATTCATAACAGTAGCAAAATTGCAGTTATGGAATAGCAACGAAAATAATGTGATGGTTGGGGGTCACCACAACATGAAGAACTGTATGAAGGGGTTGCAGCATTAGGAATGCTGAGAGCCACTGATTTATCCAAAAGATTTATCCCTGTCCTATCTCCACTTCCCAGCACCTTCCCAGTCTAGCCCAATATGTTCTCTGCATTCCCAGTCTTATCCTGGCAGACACTGATGCTCTGTTAGTGAGTAGGAAATACCTGGACTACAGTCCAGTAAGGATTTATTTATTTATCGTGTCAGGAGCAACCAGACAGTTGTATTACATTTTTAACAAAACAAACAGACAAAACACAACGTTTGCAAGCTTGGTAGTTGATTAAATGTCTTTTGACCAGTATCTGGCCACTTGGAGTGCCTCTGGGGTTGCCGCAAGGAGGTCCTCCATTGTGCATGTGGCAGGGCTCAGGTTGCATTGCAGTAGATGGTCAGTGGTTTGCTCTTCTCCACACTCGCATGTCGTGGATTCCACTTAGTAGCCCCATTTCTGAAGGTTGGCTCTGCATCTCATGGTGCCAGAGCGCAGTCTGTTCAGCGCCTTCCAAGTCGCCCAGTTTTCTGTGTGCTCATGGGGGAGTCTCTCATTTGGTATCAGATATTGATTGAGGTTCTGGGTTTGAGCCTGCCACTTTTGGACTCTTGCTTGCTGAGGTGTTCCAGGGAGTGTCTCTGTAGACCTTAGAAAACTATTTCTTGATTTAAGTTGTTGGCGTGCTGGCTGATACCCAAACAGGGGATGAGCTGGAGATGTCTCTGCCTTGGTCCTTTCACTATTGGCTGCAACTTCCCAGCGGATGTCAGGTGGTGCAATACCGGCTAAGCAGTGCAATTTCTCCATTGGTGTAGGGCGCAGACACCCCGTGATAATGTGGCATGTCTCATTAAGAGCCACATCCACTGTTTTAGCGTGGTGAGATGTGTTCCACACTGGGCATGCGTACTCAGCAGCAGAGTAGCATAGCGCAAGGGCAGATGTCTTCACTGTGTCTGGTTGTGATCCCCAGGTTGTGCCAGTCAGCTTTTGTATGATATTGTTTTTAGTACCCACCTTTTGCTTGAAATTCAAGCAGTGCTTCTTATAGGTCAGAGCACGGTCCAGAGTGACTCCTCCCAGGTATTTGGATGTGCTGCAACGCTCCAGTGGGATTCCTTCCCAGATAATCCTCAGAGCTCAGGATGCTTGTCTGTTCTTATGGTGAAAAGCACATGTCTGCGTTTTAGATGGATTAGGGATCAGCCGGCGTTCCCTGTAATAGGCAGTAAGAGCACCTAGAGCTTCGGAGAGCTTCTGTTCAACCATCTCAAAGCTCCCTGCTTCAGTGGTAATGGCACGATCGTCAGCATAGATGAAACTCTCTGTCCCTTCTGGCAGTGGCTGATCATTTGTGTAGATGTTGAACATGGATGGAGCAAGCACACTCCCCTGAGGTAGGCCGTTCTGTTTCCGCCATCTGCTTCTCTGGCCCTGGAACTCAACAAAAAAGCTCCTGTTTTGTAGCAGGTTTCCTATGAGGCGTGTGAGGTGGTCGTCCTTTGTGATATTAGACATTTTTCTCAGGAGGAGGCGGTGGTTCACAGTATCATAGGCTGCTGACAGGTCAATGAAGACAGCTCCTGTGATCTGCTGCCTTTCAAAGCCATCTTCTGTGTACTGAGTCAGGTTCAGCACTTGCGATGTGCAGCTTTTGCCTTTCCTGAAGCCAGCTTGCTGTGGAATCAGACAGGGGTCTATTTTTCCATAGATCTATGCAAAATAAGTTTATCCAGAACTTTGTAGAGGTGGCACAACAGAGAGATTGGTCTATAGCTTTTTGGATCATTATGGTCTTTTCCTGGTGACTTGCAGCATGCAAGCAAGCAAGCAAAACAACCAACTGACCTTTTCAGGACCAACCATGACAATAATCTCAATAAATATTGAAGGCATGTCAGCTGCCAAAGTCCAGTAAGGATAGTTTGGAGGGAAACATAATGCTGACCCTTTCCTTCTTGCTGATCATAAAATGCTAAAGTTGGAAGGGATCCCCGAAGGCCATCTAGTCCAACCCCCTTCTACCAAGCAATGAGACACTATCCAAACCCTCCCGACAGATGTCCATCCAGCCCCTGCTTAAGAAACTTCCAAATTTTGCAACCTCCAAATGGGCAGATGTATCACCTTAACAGTATTGGCATAGTGAAAAGGTATGCCCCATATCCTGTACAGATGGGGATCTGTAGCATTTGGCAATAGACCATTTTAATTATATTTGTTTTGCTTTGCTTCGGAACAACCTGAACAGAACGGGACACAAAAAACACCCAAACTGTGTCTTTCTTTTTCCTTGCCAAGTATTCAGAAGGATTGCTACTTGATCTTTCTTTCAACACAGCTGTTTGCTGCCAGCTGTGCAAAGCATTCCTTTTCCGAGATAGACTTGGGAACGGAGACATAAAGGCATCCCTTTTTCTCAAGGAAAGCCATTGATGTTACGTCCCAGCTATGCGCAGATTAGGGGCTGTTTGGAGAGGATGTGGCTTTGGCCAAGCTGAGCGAGTTCCAGCATTTTGCAGAGCCGGCTGTTTGCAAAGAGCCTCACTTTGGTTTCGTTCACTGGAAAGAGTCAGACATGGGGCTGCTCATCCTGGTGGGTTTCACCTTCTCGGCCGTGGTTTTGGGGGTCTCAGAGGGGGCCTCTTCTCCCGCATTGGATGTCGCTTTGGTCTTGAGCCCCCTTGAAGTGGCCCGGATGGCAGTCGAAGATTACAATGAAGGGACGACGGGAGTCTCAGCCGTCTTCAGGCTACTGAAGCTCCGGAACATCCACAAAACGGTAAATATGTCCTATCTGTTGTCAAAGGCTTTCATGACCAAAATCACTAGGGTGCTGTGAGTTTTTTAGGCTGTATGGCCATGCTCCAGAAGCATTCTCTCCTGATGATTCGCCTGAATCTCTGGCTAATCACATCCTCAGAGATTTGTTTACCTATCTGAACATATCTCTCTGTATGAAGCATCTTGGAGATTAAGATGGTCAAGGGAGGCCCTGCTCTCAGTCTCACCTTCTTCGCAGGTGGAACTGGTAGGGAAGGAGGGGCAGGTGTCACGAAAATATCATTGCACATTTGATGTGTGGGAATTAATGGAAGGATGTATGGATAGAATTAATAATTTTGGAAACACCAGTAAAAGACCAAGGCCTGCAATGACTAACTACCTGCTTGCTGGACTGTAATTAAAACCTGCTAATAAGAACTGAAAAGTAAACTCTGATAAGAACAGGGACAGTGATTAGATAAATGTTTACAATGTTAAGAAGGAAGTCAAGATAAGATCAACACCGATCAAGAAGAATCAACATCTACATATCTCTCCATATGAACCATCTTGGAGATTAAGATGGTCAGGGAGGCCCTGCTCTCGGTCCCACCTTCTTCAAAGGAGTGACTGGTAGGGAAGGAGGGGCAGGTGTCACGAAAATATCATTGCACATTTGATCAATGTGGATTTAATATGATGTGTGGGAATGAATGGAAGGATGTATGGATGGAGTTAATAATTTTGGAAACACCACTAAAAGACCAAGGTCTGCAATGACTAACTTCCTGCTTGCTGGACTGTAATTAAAACCTGCTAATAAGAACTGAAAAGTAAACTCTGATAAGAACAGGAACAGTGATTAGATAAATGTTTACAATGTCAAGTAGGAAGTCAAGATAAGATCAACACCAATCAAGAAGAATCAACATCTACATATCTCTCCATATGAACYATCTTGGAGATTAAGCGGTCTGGGGAGACCCTGCTCTCAGTCCCACCTTCTTCGCAGGTGTGACTGGTAGGGAAGGAGGGGCAGGTGTCACAAAAATATCATTGCACATTTGATCAATGTGGATTTAMTATGATGTGTGGGAATGAATGGAAGGTTGTATGCATGGAGTTAATAATTTTGGAAACGCCAAAGCCTGCAATGACTAACTACCTACTTGCTGGATTGTAATTAAAAGTTGCTAATAAGAACTGAAAAGTAAACTCGGATAAGAACTGGGACAGTGATTAAATAAATGTTTACAATGTTAAGAAGGAAGTCAAGATAAGATAAACACCAATCAAGAAGAATCAACATTTACATATCTCTCCATATGAACCATCTTGGAGATTAAGATGGTCTGGGGACGCCCTGCTCTCAGTCCCACCTTCTTCGCAGGTGTGACTGGTAGGGAAGRAGGGGCAGGTGTCACGAAAACATCATTGCAGATTTGATCAATGTGGATTTAATATGATGTGTGGGAACGAATGGAAGGATGTATGGATGGAGTTAATAATTTTGGGARCGCCAGTAAAAGACCAAGGCCTGCAATGACTAACTACCTGCTTGCTGGACTGTAATTAAAAGTTGCTAATAAGAACTGAAAASTAAACTCTGATAAGAACTGGGACAGTGATTAGATAAATGTTTACAATGTTAAGAAGGAAGTCAAGATAAGATAAACACCGATCAAGAAGAATCAACATCTGGCCAGGAAACTGAGGTGGAGCCTGGATGGAAGATGTGTATCATTTACAACTTTGGGATGACATCGGCAGAATATTCCTATTATTATTATTATTATTATTATTATTATTATTATTATTAGATTAATCAAATCTGGCCTAAGCCTGAGCCTACAAAGCATTACAATGATTGAAAACAGAGATAGTTGCACTGCAAAATCCGAGGCATTGTATTGCTGTTATGGATCTGGGTGAGAATCCCTGCATCATTTCCATTTAGGAAGGGCAAAATCTACCTTGAGAAAGAGAATTACAAATTTGGGAGTGAAAATATAAGCCTGTTCAAAAGGTTAAGTTTTCATGCTGTTGGATACAATAACAATTATTATTATTATTATCATTATTAGTGTCTCTGTGGCCCACCTAAAAGTCCCAGCCAAGTTGACCACACATTATTATATTATTATTATTATTATTATTATTATTATTATTATTATTATTATTATTTTATATTAATGCAAAGTTGACCAAGGCCTCCAAATAGACTTTAAAGAACACCTCCCAACAAAGGATTTCCCCAGGCAGGAGTCAGCTAGTCTTTGAAGCTGCAAGGCCATTCAATACTAATCAAGGTCGTCAATTGCAACATTCACACTTGCCTCCAGAGGACAAGAGTTCTTTTTCCCACCATGGATATTATTTCACAGATATATGTTTGTGTGTGTGTGTGTGTGTGGGTGGGTGTATATCTCGCAACCCCACGTGCCTAGTTTCCAACAGACTTCACAACCTCTGAGGATGCCTGCCATTGATGTGGGTGAAACATCAGGAGAGAATGCTGCTGGAACATGGCCTTACAGTCTGAAAAACTCACAGCAACCCAGACTTTTAAAAAGTAGTATATATCATGCAGTTTTTACCTATCTTTCAATATTCAAGAAAGATTGGGAACCCTTCAAAAACTTCCTGGAAGAAATTAGAAGTGCTGATCTATTATATTATATTGTGCACAATCAATTAGATAATATGGAAACAACATCATTCTTATGCCTATGATGAAGCAGCATCGATTGCTTTTTAAACGACACCCTAATTAACTCTGATTTTTTATTTTATTTTTATTTATTTTGCTTTAAAAGTTCCTGGTTGAACTTTCTGTTCCTCGTGTCCTGCCAAGCGCTGGTTGGGTCACACTTTCTCTGTTTCCAAAAAACATACCCAAAGAGGCCAGTTTGGGGCACATTTAGGGGAAAATGGGCTCATTCATCCTTTGCAGAAGAGGAAAATATCCTCCACTTTTAGACTGCCTTTAAAGGTGTCTTTTCTGCTTCCTGGTTGCATTATATAAAGCAAGACCAAGGTCTGGAATGAATATTTTCTCCTGACGTTTCGCCTGCATCTGTGGCAGACATCCTCAGAAGTTGTGAGGTCTGAGAATATAATATAATATAACAACATAACATAACATAACATATATGGCAAGATGGATGGATGGCATCCTTGAAGTGACTGGATTGACCTTGAAGGAGCTGGGGGTGGTGACGGCTGACAGGGAGCTCTAGCGTAGGCTAGTCAATGAGGTCACGATGAGTTGGAAATGACTGAATGAACGAACAGCAACATAATATATATGGCAGGCATCCTCAGAAGTTGTGAGGTGGATGGCATCCTTGAAGGGACTGGCTTTACTCTGAAGGAGCTGGGGGTGGTGACGGCAGACAGGGAGCTCTGGCATGGGCTGGTCCATGAGGTCACGAAGAGTCGGAAACGACTGAACGAATGAACAACAACATAATATATATGGCAGGCATCCTCAGAAGTTGTGAAGTCTGAGAATATAATATAATATAATATAATATAATATAATATAATATAATATAATATAATATAATATAATATAATATAATATAGATGGATGGATGGCATCCTTGAAGTGACTGGCTTGACCTTGAAGGAGCTGGGGGTGGTGACGGCCGACAGGGAGCTCTGGCATGGGCTGGTCCATGAGGTCACGAAGAGTCGGAAACGACTGAACGAATGAACAACAACATAATATATATGGCAGGCATCCTCAGAAGTTGTGAAGTCTGAGAATATAATATAATATAATATAATATAATATAATATAATATAATATAATATAATATAATATAATATAATATAATATATATGGCAAGATGGATGGATGGCATCTTTGAAGGGACTGACTTGACTCTGAAGGAGCTGGGGGTGGTGACGGCTGACAGGGAGCTATGGCATGGGCTGGTCCATGAGGTCACAAAGAGTCGGAAACAACTGAATGAATGAACAACAATATAATATAATATAATATAATATAATATAATATAATATAATATAATATAATATATGTCTGCAATTGACATCATAGGTAGACCACAACTATGAGGTCTACCTATGATGGTGGAGGCTCCTTCTTGGGAAGCTTTTAAATAGAGGCTGGATGGCCATCTGTCGGGGGTGCTTTGAATGCGATTTTCCTGCTTCTTGGCAGGGGTTGGACTGGATGGCCCATGAGGTCTCTTCCAACTCTGTAATTCTATGATTCTATGAAAGACAACATGAGGAAACACATCCAGAAAATCACATTGTCTGATTTTTAATGAATTTATTTGTAAATTGTGGTGGAAAATAAAATCTGGCCAAAGATGAAGAACTTGAAAGCGGCCCTTGACCACACCAACTTTGTGGCGTTGAGGGCACCAGGTCTGGCAACTTCAGAAGGATCCTCCCTTTGATTGTAAGCACCTTGGAGAAGGACCTGATGCCTTCTTATGTCATTGCGTGTGTCTGTCTCTCTGTCCATCCATCCATCCATCCATCCATCCTTCTATCTATCCATCCATCCATCCATCCATCCATCCATCCATCCATCCATCCATCCATCCATCCATCTATCTATCTATCTATCTATCTATCTATCTATCTATCTATCTATCTCCCTTTTTGTCCCCAAAGAGATTTAGCTGGGGAGTCCATTTCAGCATGAACTTCACCGTCAAGGAGACCCATTGCCAGAAGACCTCCAGTTACCGGATGGGAGACTGCAAATACAAGACAAACGGGGTAAGTGGTCGTTGTGCCTACTTGTATAATTTAAGTTAGTACAGTGTTTCTCAACCTAAGGGTTGGGACCCCTGCGGGGGTCACAAAGGGGTGTCAGAGGGGTTGCCAAAGACCATCAGAAAACACGTTATTTTCTGTCAGTCATGTGGGCTCTCTGTGGGAAGTTTGCCCCAATTCTATCTTTGGTGCAGTTCAGAATGCTCTTTGATTGTAGGTGAACTATAAATCCTAGCAACTACAATTCCCAAATATCAATGTCTATTTTCCCCAAACTCCATCAGTGTTCCTATTTGAGCATATAGAGTATTTGTGCTAAGTTTGGTCCAGATCCATCATTGTTTGAGTCCACAGTTCTCTCTGGATGTAGGTGAACTACAACTCCAAAACTCAAGGTCAGTCGCTACGAAACCCTTCCAGTCTTTTCTGTTGGTCATGGGAGCTCGCATTATCTGCCGATACATCACACAGTTCTAGACACTTGGGAAGTGCCCAACGTGTGATCCAATTCAACAGCCAGCAGAGTGTCTGCTGTGGACTCATCTTGTTGTGTTTCTAATAAATAATAATAATAATAATACATAGAAGACCTGTATGTGTGTTTCTTCCACTTTCACCAGGATCCCATATCCCTAAACTCTGTGGGAGATGTATAACAAGACTAAAATTAGAATTAAAAGCAATTAAACCATTAACAAGAGAACAAATAAACAGCACAAGATCTTCGAAGGTTGGTTTCCCAGCTGTGCCATCAAAAAGCTGTTGAAACAAAGAGGGATATCAGTCTAGAGCAGGCATGGGAACACTTGGACCCTCCAAGTGTTTTGGACTCCAACTCCCACCATTCCTAACAACCTCAGGCTTAAGCGGCTGAGGGGGAAAAGGAAGGGGCCTGAGGCTGTTAGGAATGGTGGGAGTTGGAGTCCAAAACACCTGGAGGGAAGGCCCAAATTGGCCCCTTCATTTTCCTTTTCCCTTCCCCTTTCCGCTTATGCAGCTGAGGAGGAAAAAAGGAAACGGCCTGAGACTGTTAGGAATGGTGGGAGTTGAAGTCCAAAACACCCGGAGGGCCCAAGTTTGTCCATGCCTGCTCTAGAGAGATTGGCACTGTCCCTACGAAATGTTGGAATAGTTGATCAGAATGGAATGATGGGGGTTGCAGTCCAAAATATATATCCCAGGGCAAGAAGAACGGGTCTCAACCCCAACTAATGCTTCTCTTCCCCAGGCAGTGAAGGACTGCTCCGCTGAAGTCTCCATTCTCAACTTCATGCAAGATTCCCCGTTGACCTCCGTGAAATGCCAGGTGAGAGGCCTTTTCCAACAGCGAAAGGAGACCAGCCAAGACATCCGGACTCCAGACAGATGTTGGCTTTGCTTCCTTAAGTGATCATTGGTTTTTCTTCTTGAGTGGCCTTGTTTTGACTTCAAAGAGTTATTGTCACTAAGTAATGTAAACATGTTGTTTTCCACCAAGAGTTTGTCTCTAGCCATGTCAACAGTACAGCAACTTTTATTTACAGTTCATAAATTCAGTAGTTTTCCAGGCCTCATTTCTTCAGATGACATCTTTATATATTGTTGAAGGCTTTCATGGCCGGAATCACTGGGTTGTTGTAGGTTTTTTCAGGCTATATGGCCATGTTCTAGAGGCATTTTCTCCTGACATTTCGCCTGCATCTATGGCAAGCATCCTCAGAGGTATATATAGGTCCCAACCATGCACTTTTCACACAATTTCATTCAGTCCACACATCATATTTATCCATCACACTTGTGGGGAGAAGAGCAGGATAGAAATATACAAAATAATAATAATAATAATAATAATAATAATAATAACCTTTATTTATATACTGATCCATCTCCCCGAGGGGACTCGGGGCGGTTCCCAGGTAACATCACAAAAACATACAAAGTAAAAACAACATAACCATAAGATTAACAAAACAAAATATAAGCATAACAATTGTTGCCATATGTAAGGGAAGCAACGAGAGACGACGACAGGTCTCTTATCACACCTGTGTGACAGGAATTTGAATGAGGGAATGACTAATGATGTGAGAGACCGATGATACTGGTAGATTTTTGCCGCCGCCACCTCAATTTTATTGTTTGAGGAAACAAGGTGTGAATGTATTTGAGGTACATTCAGGCTTCTGGCTCTTCTTTTAAAACTCCTTTGCTTGCTGACTGGACTATAAAGATGTTCAGGCTGACTTGGTTTCACTAAGTAGGACAGACCGAGGCAGAGACCAGTTAACAATGAACTAATAACAGGTTTATTGAACTTTAAGAAGATGGAAACTCATAAAATGAGAGGTACACACACGTATTTTTGTTACTGAGGCTCAGGCTTACTAGACATAAGGTTTCTACAGAAGGAGTACCTTTTATTTGAAGTGAGTTACCTACTTCACACTATTCAACCCTCTGAAACAGTGTGTTTCTAAGATCAGTCACCTTGGCTGTCTTACAGAGTAACCAGACTTCTCTAGTCTACTCTCCACTATAGGGCAATAAGCCTACTTGTATTCTCTCCTTAATACAAGCTGACAAGTCTTCTCACTGACCCTCCTAGTCCAGTTTTACTGAAGCCCTTGTCCCTTTCTTTATTCCCTATCAGATCAACTCACTCAAAAGCTTCCTTCTCCCTGCCTATAATACTTCTTCTCTGTTGAAATCCTTCTCTGTTGAAATCAGCAAAGGTTAGAATCTATTACACCACTAGCTGTCCCCTGCCACGCGTTGCTGTGGCCCAATCTCTGTGTATGTGTTTTGTGTGTGTATATATGTGTATATGTGTGTGTGTATGTGTTTATGCATAAATACACATGTGGTTATGCTGAAGCCCGCAGTGGGTTAAACTGTGAAACTTGGTAACGGAAAGGTTGGAGGTTTGAATCCAGGGAGCGGCATGAGCTCCTGCTGTTAGCCCCAGCTTCTGCCAACCTAGGAATTTGAAAACCTGAAAATGTGAGTAGATCAATAGGTACCTCTCTGGCGGGAAGGTAAGGGTGCTCCATGCAGGCCTCATGACTTTGGAGGTGTCTATGGATAACGCCGGCTGTTGGGCTTAGAAATGGAGATGAGCACCAACACCCCCCCCTCCCCCAAATCGGACACAACTGGACTTAATGTCAGGGGAACAATGTGGTTATGTGCATGCATTGTAGTGGATTTGTTTTTTGGGTTTGTAAGTCTCGTCTGCTGTGTTTTTCAGTGTTTTTATGAGTGATGGTAACTCAATGGCCTGATAGATGTATTGTCCTTTCCTCCCTTCCTCCTTCCTTCCTTCCTTCCTTCCTTCCTTCCTTCCTTCCTTCCTTCCTTCCTTCCTTCCTTCCTTCCATTTCAGTCTTCCCTTTCTGCTTTCCTTCCTTCCTTTTTTCTTTCCTTCCTTCCTTTATTTCTTCTGTCTTTCCTTCCCTCCTTCCTTTTTTCCTTGTGTTTCTTTCTCTCCTTCCTTCCTTCCTTCCTCCCTCCCTCCCTCCCTCCTTCCTTCTGTTTCTGCCTCCCCCTTCCCAACCGTGATGTTGCTCCCGACTCAGGTGGTGGACCCACAACCGGTGCGGGGCCGGTGACATCAGGCGCGGCGGCGGTGGCAGGGGCGAGATTCCCGGGTCTGCCTGCAGAGGAGGAGGCGGCAGAGGCGGAGGGGGAGCCGGGCCCCCCCTCGCCCCCCCTCGCCCTTTCCCTCTTTCCTTCCTTCCTTCCTTCCCTCTGTCTTTTGTTCCTTCTCTCCTTCCTTCTGTTTCCTTTAACTTTATTTCCTTTTCTCCTTCCTTCCCCCTTTCTCTCCTTCATTCCTTCTCTTTCCCTCCTTCTCTCATTACTTCTCGACTGTCCCTTTCAACTCTATTCTATGGATCTAATGCCGCGCGGGGGGTGTGAAGGGGCGCACGCGCGCGCGTGTGGGGGGGGGGGGGGGGGTGAGGGGCCATGTGTGTGCGCGCGCCAGGGAGTTTGCGCCAGTGCGCATGCTCAGTTGCTTTGCCGTTTATTGTGGTTGTTGTTGTGTGTTTTGGATTTCTGACTGGATTAGTTTGTACCTTGTTGGTTGCCCTTGGGGCATGGGAAGTTTGGTGGAGTTTCGTTGGGGGGGTTTTAGAGTTTTGTTTCCTCATACGACGCCAGGAGGAAATTTATATATATAGATAATACACATATATATTAAAAGTAGTCCTGCCTGTTCACGGCAATCAAAAAATTTAAAAGGCCGGGCCAAGATTGGTGCAAGCCCAAAAATTCTAAGGGGCCTGGGAATCAAATGAAATGCCATGGCAGGCAACAATAATATTAGGTACGGGTCTGTGGCTGTTCATTCCGGGGCCGATTAGAGGAAATGATCTGAGTAATTGGTAGGAAAAATAAGGCCGTATTCGACATTGTGTAGGGCTGAGTTAGAACTGGTCATTTTCAAAGGCTTGTTGAAACCACCAAGTCTTCAAGCTCTTACAAAAGGAGGGGAGGGATGAGACCTGTCTTATTTCCCTTGGAAGGGCGTTCCAGAGTTTGGGGGGCCACCACCGAGAAGGCCCTCCTTCTTGTCCCCACCAACGGCACTTGAGACAGTAGTGGGACCGAGAGGAGGGCCTCCCCGGAAGATCTTAGAGCTTGTGCCGGTTCATAGAAGGAGATGCGATCGCGGAGATAGGCAGGTCCCGAACTGTTTAGGGCTTTATAGGTCATGACTTGGGCTCAGCAACTTATCGGCAGCCAATTAAGCTGTTTTAATAGGGGTGTTATATTCTCCCTATAGTTTGCTCCAGTAAGGAGCCTGGTTGTACGAGTTGAAACTTCTGGGCCGTCTTCAAGGGCAGCCCCATGTAGAGTGCATTGCAGTAGTCCAGTTTGGATGTAACCAAGGCGTGGACCACTCTGGCCAAGTCAGACTTCACGAGGTATGGTCGCAGCTGGCACACAAGTTTGAGTAGTGCAAAGGCCCTCCCGGCCACCGCTGACACCTGAGCATCAAGCGACAGGATTGAGTCCATGAGGATCCCCAAGCTAAATAATATCCACGAGGAGCTCTGCTGCAAACAATTCAGGTCTTGCAAAGCCATGCTGTCCTTAACTGAACTCTATTGCAGTCTTCCCCTTTTCCTTCTCCTTTCCATTCCATGCTGCGTTCTTGTCTTTTGCATTGAGCCATGCCATCACATGATGTGTCCACAGTATGATGGCCTCAGTTGAGTGGCATTGCCTTCAAGGCTCAGGCTTGACTTGCTCCTGGGTGTATTGGTTTATTGAGATCTTTCTTGCGTCTTGCTTCCTCCTGTTCCTTTTAGCGGGCTTCTTCCAGTGGACGGAAAACCAAATCCAGCTCCAAACCCGAAGCAGTGAAGGCACCAAACCCTCGAATGGATGCGGAGCCCTATTTCCCATCGTCCTTTTCCACCGCAGCCCTGAAAGCCATTGAAGGAAAGTAACGGTACGATGGATCCCCTTCCAAAGAAGAGGCGTTTGCATTGCTATTACCAGCCCCTTGCAAAGCTGGGGCTTCAACGCACAACACTTTGCTATAGCCTTATCTGACTCATCATATTGCTAAATATTACTGCTTATTAGCTGTGCCCGCCACGCTTTGCTGTGGCCAACCTTCCCTCCCTCTTTCTCTTCTCCTTTCTTTCTCTCCTTCCTTCCTTTTCTTCTTCTTCCCTTCCTTCTCCCCACCTTTTCTTTCTCTTCCTCTTTCTCCCCGTTCTTCCTTCTCTACCTATTCTTGGACTGCAACTCCCAACAGTCCTCCTGATCAATCAATCTATCTATCTATCTATCTATCTATCTATCTATCTATCTATCTCTATCTAATCTATCTACTTTATCTCTCTGGACGTATTGCTGGGAGTTGCAGTCCAGGAATAGGAAATTGGAAATATGCAGGAATTGGGGTCCCCTCAAAAAATCCAAGGAGAAGAAAGCTTACAGTTTGGAAGCAGTGCATTTGGATCATCCTCCTCTCCTAAAGGGTCTAGGGGATGCTGGGATCTGTAGTCCAGAAGAGAGTGTGCATATGTTATGGTTTGTTTTGTTTGTCAGGGGGAATTGTTTTTGCGCATGCGCTGTAGCATCTTTTTGCTTTTTTGGCCTTTTAAATCCCTTCTATTGTGTTTTTCAGTGTTTTTATGAGTGATGGTCACTTGTTGGCCTGGCAGGTGTGTTTGGTCCAAATTTGGAGTCAATTCATCCAGTGGTTTTTGAATTATGTTAATCCCACAAACAAACATTACATTTTTATTTATATAGATTCATGCTATCTACTTGTCTTTACTGTATTGGGTGGGAACTAAAAGGTGTTTGTTTTTAACTGCAGCAAGAATTGGTCTATTGTCATATTCTCAGCCTGCATTGGGAATATTACATCAACCCTATGCTTTGGAAGAAACAACTGCAGCAGGACTGTATGGGTTTCCCTAAGCTTGGTTCCAAAATCATCTGTCTGCCACAAGGGAGCGGTGTAGACCAAGACTGAAGGCAATAACAGAAGGTTAGTTTGCTTTCAGGCCTGAAAGGATGTCTGGTACAGAGTCTCCGCTCTAAAGAGAATCCGGCATAACCACACAGTACAGTGCAAGACATTTGATCTCTCTTGGCAGCCATTCAAAAAACCTACTCCCTCCCCTGATTGTCTGGGGAATGGCCAAGCTAGGATCCAAGCTGTCATTGGCTGGGGACTCCCTGTGATGTCAGAGGTGGGTGGAGTCTCCCTTGTGGTGGGAAAAATTGAGAGTTTCCATGTGTTTTTTGAATCTGGAACTGCTCAGGCTGTGCCTTAATCATAAGGTTTGAGACGAGGCAAAGAGATTACACTAGGTTTAAATATAACAAGGAACCATTTTGTATTTTGAGACCACCACAAAGAAGTAGATGGAAGCCAGATTGTAGATACACCTTTCAATTTTTTTATTCTTATAATTTTCACATATATATACATATATCTCTCATATTTTATTTTATTGTTATTATGTTTCTTTCTTATGTTTATTTTTCTGTTCTCCTTTTCTTCACTTTCTTTCTCTCTTTTTTCTTTCTTTCGTTCTTCTCTTTTCTCGTTTTTTCTCTTCTTTTAGAACATAGTCTGCAACCAGTACTGTATAATAATGTCTTTAATAAAAATGTATTTTTAAAAAAGAGATTATACTATGTAACAAACTTTGATTTTTTTTCTGTTCCTGGATTGAAAGTGTTATTTCCTATTTAATTGTGCAGTTCTTACTTTGAAAGTAGTTGTTCTACTCCAGAAACTTAGTTTTTGTGGCTGAGGCTGGGGCTATTATTTCCTTCATTGGTAATTTTCCATATTTGGTGTCCTCTGCAAACTTGATCAGCCTGCCCTCTAAACATTCACCCAAGTCATTAATGAAGATGTTGAACAGGACTGGGCCCAGAACCAAACTCTCTTCATGGCTCTCCACTCATCACTGGCTTTCTTCTGAAGAGACATATAAGAGACAACATCAGAACAATACTAAATGCCATAGAATACTATGAGAAGCGTCAACAGAAGGAAATAGCCTTATTGTTTTTAGATGCTGAAAAGGCATTTGATAACATTTGATAACATCAATTGGAACTTTATAACTATGGTATTAAAGGAAATGGACACTGGATATTACTTCATAAATGCGATAAAATCAATATATACCCAAAAAAAGCTAAAATAATAATAAATGGACAGCAATCAATGAACATCCCGATAAATAAAGGAACAAGGCAGGGCTGTCTTCTCTCCCTATTATTGTTCATATTAGTATTAACTAACCTGAGAAGAAACAAAGACTTGAAAGGTCTAAAAACAAAGAAACAGACTTATAAAGTCCACGGATTTGCGGATGACATTGTATGTATTATGGAAGACCCGCTCGAACAAATAAATAAATGGTGGCAGGAAATTAATAAAGATGTTGAACAGGACTGGGCCCAGAACCAAACCCTCTTCGTGGCACTCCACTCATCACTTCTTTCCAGGATGAAGAAGAGGAACCATTGGGGAGAACCACCCTTTGGGTTCGGTCACTTCACCAATTCCAGATCCTGTAGTGTTCTTGGTGTATAGGAAGGGTATTCTCCCCATCAATCCACTTGGCCCCACTCCCTTGGAGGCTGACGCTTTGTGACGCTGTGCAAGCCACAGTTCTCAATGTTCCCCTTCCTATGGAAGAGCCTTGCACCCTGTGTTTTGTTTCCACCTGGCTATTAATCCATTCAAGCTGCTGATGCTGATGTTCCCCTCCCTATGGATCTCTTTTCTGTATCTCCATTTCTAGGCCACAACATTTGAAAAATATCCTGTTCCTGGTTTGAAAGTGTTATTTCCTGTTTCATTGTGTGGTCCTTACTTTGACAGTAGTTGTTCTACTCCAGAAACTTTGTTTTTGTGGCTGTCACAAACTAGATTGAATTGGTTGAGATTAGATGAAATGTTCATTGGAAAACTAGAGCAAAATGCAGGATGATGTGCCTCCCACAAAGACAAAGTTTTGGCAGTTTAATGAACTTTTCCCATGTTTATAAGCTCAAACCAATTAGGAAATGACATTTATAATCCAGGAACAAAAATTGTGTTACAGGGTGTCATTGCACAACAGTGTATTAGTTTCCAGACTATGCCATGAGTCATTCTATGCTTAGCCTCATGCAGCCTCACCACTTTGTGTCTCTTTATGAGAAGGTAGGTATAAATCAATGTAATAATAATAATAATAATAATAATAATAATAATAATAATTCCTCATTGGTCTTGAATAATGTCTTGAGAGGGCTGGAATCAACTTTTGATCAATTCCTTCCCTTCTCAACCTTGGGGTCGGGACCCCTGGAGGGGGTCACAAGGGGGTTTCATAGGGGTCACCAAAGACCATCAGAAAACATATATTTCTGATGGTCTTGGGAACCACTTTGGCCAGAAGGCTGAAAATCTCTCCGCCTGTCCTTCTTTTCCTTTTTGGAAACAGACGGTGAATCCTCTCACCAAAATTCCTCCTCTGCTGTGATTGGCCAGCCTCTCAGCCAAGGGAAGGCTGTTTATGAGACTCCAAGCAGAGAGGGGAGAGCAGATGTGTTCGGAGCATGGCAGTGTAGTGCGCATGTACAGGCGACGGAGAGCATGCAAGGCTGGAGGGAGGCTGACGCCAGCATGGGGATTCTGAGTGGGAAGTTTGACCCAATTCTATCATTGGTGGAGTTCAGAATGCTCTTTGATTGTAGGTCCCAGCAACTACAACTTCCAAATGTCAAGGTCTTTTTCCTCCAAACACCACCAGTGTTGACATTTGAGCATATTGAATATTTGTGCCAAGTTTGGTCCAGATCCATCATTGTTTGAGTCCACGGTACTCTCTGGATGTAGGTGAACTACAACTCCCAAATTCAAGGTCAATGCCCACCAAACCCTTCCAGTATTTTGTGTTGGTCATGGGAGTTCTGTGTGCTGAGAGTGGTTCATTTCCATCATTGGTGGAGTTCAGAATGCTCTTTGGTTGGAGGTGAAGTATAAATCTCAGCAACTACAACTCCCAAATGTCAAGGTCTTTTCACCCCAAACACCACCAGTGTTGACATTTGAGCACATTGAGTGTTCGTGCCAAGTTTGGTCCAGATCCGTCATTGTTTGAGTCCGCAGTGCTCTCTGCATGTAGGTGAATTACAACTCGAAAACTCAAGGTCAATGTCCACCAAACCCTTCCAGCATTTTCTGTTGGTCATGGGAGTTCTGTGTGCCAATTATTATTATTCATCATTGGTGGAGTTCAGAATGCTCTTTGATTGTAGGTGAACTATAAATCCCAGCAACTACAACTCCCAAATGACAAAATCAATCTCCCCCAACCCCACCAGTATTCAAATTTGAGCGTATTGGGTATTTGTGCCAAATTTGGTCCATGAATGAAAATACATCCTGCATATCAGATATTTACATTACGATTCAGAACAGGAGCAGAATTACAGTTGTGAAGTAGCAACGAAAATAATGTTATGGTTGGGGGTCACCACCACATGAGGAACTGTATTCAAGGGTCACGGTATTAGGAAGGTTGAGAACCACTGCTGTATGGACTCTACTGGGTCTATGGGTGTTGTGATTACAATATTGCTTCTGCTCTTGTGAGAGGAAGCCACAGGAGGGAGCAAGCTTCCTTTCTGCTTCCCTGGAGGCTAGGATTAATGGAACAATGGCTTCAAACTACAAGAGAGGAGATTCCATCTGAACATGAGGAAGAACTTCCTGACTGTGAGAGCCGTTCAGCAGTGGAACTCTCTGCCCCGGAGTGTGGTGGAGGCTCCTTCTTTGGAAGCTTTTAAACAGAGGCTGGATGGCCATCTTTCAGGGGTGATTTGAATGCAATATTCCTGCTTCTTGGCAGAATGGGGTTGGACTGGATGACCCAGGAGGTCTCTTCCAACTCTTTGATTCTAGGATTCTATGTACAGGTGACCGAGAGCATGCATGGCTGGAGGGAGGCTCACGCCAGCATGGGGATTCTGAGTGGGAAGTTTGGTCCAATTCTATCACTGGTGAGGTTCAGAATGTTCTTTGATTGTAGGTGAACTATAAATCCCAGCAACTACAACTTCCAAATGCCAAGGGCTTTTTCCTCTAAACACCACCAGTGTTGACATTTGAGCATATTGAGTATTTGTGCCATGTTGGTACAGATCCATCATTGTTTGAGTCCACAATGCGCTCTGGATGTAGGTGAACTACAACTCCAAAACTCAAGGTCAATGCCCACCAAACCCTTCCAGTATTTTCTGTTGGTCATGGGAGTTCTGTGTGCCAAGTTTGGTTCAATTCCATCATTGGTGGAGTTCAGAATGCTCTTTGATTGTAGATGAACTATAAATCCCAGCAACTACAACTCCCAGATGACACAATCAATCCTCCCCAACCCGACCAGTATGCAAAGAAAAGGTGGCAAACCTAGGCATAAAAACTACAGCTGATGCCATCTTGCCCCAACCCAAACTAGGACCTTCTCTTTGCAACCAAAAGAAGAGAGAGATTTCAAAGAAACGACAGACCACAATGGAGTTTGCAATGCTTCAAAGCAAGATATATTTGTTTCTCTGGCGTACAAGCCGGCACACTTTAATGGAGGAGTTAGAGCTGGGGAGGGTTAGAGAAGGGTGAGAACAGAACGCATGCCTAGTCTTCTATTGTGAAAGCTGTAATGGCAAAAGAACAAGAAGCTGCAGGAGAAATGGACACAGCGGGAGAGGAACGCTGCCCGGTTTATCTCTTACACGGCTGGGGTCGATTTATGATGACCTTGCCTTCGTCGAAGTGGACGGGATAGCCTTCCTCGCAGGCGATGACGATATAGCGGGGCCGGTTGTCGTGCCTGTAGTCGCAGGGCGGGCGGGTCGACCCTCCTTTCAAGTCGCAGGTGGTGACGCGGAAGGCCTCGCAGCTCAGGCGCATGGTCCCATAGGGCTCCCCTCTGTCTCCGCACACGGCTTTGATGGCCGTGTCGGTGGCGTGGATGAAGCTGTTCTTGTCCTTGCAGTTGTGCTTGGTCAACCTTCGTTTCGCCATCATATCATTGCAGTACCTTCCTCCGGTGTTTGCGTTGGATTTGTCCCGATGCTGGTTCAGGAAGTGGATGTACCTCTGCCTGACGGCAGGAGGTTGCTTGGCCGCATCCATTTGGGTGACCAAAGCTGCCAGGAACACCAAGAGAAGGAGAGGAGCGGGTCCTCTGAAAAGCCTCATGGTGGAGACCAACACCAAGTACCTAAAGCAAGGAAAAGAGACAACATTGAAGTTTGGGAGATTCAAGCTCAAATGTGGCACGGAAAACCAATGGGCAACCTTGGACAGGGCACACTCTTGATATCGAGCTCACTCTCTCGCCCTCTATTCCTAGGGTATCAAAGCCATTTTTGTTAGGTAGACAGGGGTGTTGTAAGGGGAGACACATTCACAAAGGCGAGAGTGCTGGAGGAAGTTATCAATGATAGGCTGGAGCCCACGGCGAGCCTCCAGAGGGATCCTGTATTGGGGGATCCAAGGGAGCCTGACATCAGTCTGAAGTCTGATCTGGCCACGGTCGTCCACGCTCTGGTTACATCCCAAATATTATTATTATTATTATTATTATTATTATTATTATTATTATTAAACTTTATTTGTACCCCGCTAGCATCTCCCGAAGGACTCGATGCGGCTTACATAGGCCAAGGCCTCAACACACAATACAACAATACAAAACCTAAGGCAAATTAAAAACAATTAAAGCAATGCAGCTGTGGACAAGTCTACATAGGGACCACCAAACGCAGCAATGCCCAAACAAGAATCCAGGAACATGAAAGGCACTGAAGACTACTTCAACCAGAGAAGTCAGCCATAGCAGAGCACCTGAGGAACCAGCCTGGACACAGCATATTATTTGAGAACACAGAAATGCTGGACCACTCTCACAACCACCACGTCAGACTACACAGAGAAGCCATTGAGATCCACAAGCATGTGGACAATTTCAACAGAAAGGAGGAGACCATGAAAATGAACAAAATCTGGCTACCAGTATTGAAAAAACTCTAAAATTGCAACAGCACAACAGAGAGGAAACAGGCAACGACATCTAATTACCTCTCAACAAAAGTTTGCCCCAGGCGCAGTCAGGCCATTGTATGCTAATCAAGGTGGTCAGTTGGAACATTCACACCTAGCTCAAACAGGGAATAGTCCTTTGTCTCACCCTGGTCATTCCACAGATATATAAACCCTTTTTCCTAGCTCCAACAGGCCTCACTCCCTCTGAGGATGCTTGCCAAAGTGCAGGCGAAACGTCAGGAGAGAATGCCTCTAGACCATGGCCATACAGCCTGAAAAAACCTACAACAACCCACTGTCTTATTTTAGCTTACTACATAGAGTGCAATCAAGTCTTATCAAGCCTTGTTGTTTTGTTTGGTATCGTGATATGGCCTAAGGGCTAATCAATAAAATTACTACTAGTAGGATGTTTACTATCACCAATATAAAAGAGAAAATATTCAAGACTATAAAATCAGGAGAAGGTCAGTGGGAAACAGATGGAAATAGTTTCGCTTTCCAAGCAGAGGTAAAGACGTTGCAACAAGAGCAAGTCATCCATGTCTTTTGGTGGCAAATAATTAACCACGTCTAGCTCTTTCGGTTCCTTCTCCCGTTCTATATGAAGAACACAGAAAGATGTCAGATAAAGATTGCATTTGTAATTGGAATTGAAAAGAAGTTGGGCAGTCTTATCTTAAATTACAGTTTTATGTAAAAATTCAAAACCATTTAACCTACAGATGCCTCAATTTAATGTAATTTTATTTTTGAAATGTATTCGTAGCTGCTGCATTTTCCACTCTCGGTTTATACTCGAGTCAATTAAGTTTTCCCAGGTTTTTTTTGTGGTAAAATTAGGTGCCTCGGCTTACATTCGGGTCGGCTTATCCTCGAGTAGATACAGTACTTTACAACATTTTGATAGATGCCTTGGCTTGAGGGGGAAGAAGTCAACTGTGCTTTCAACATTTTATTTATTTGTTTATTTAAAACTTTTGCATCCCGTTCTTCTCTACCTCCGTAGAGGGACTCAGAACGGCGAACAGAAAAAAAATTCAATGCTAACTATAAAACATTTCAAACCAACATACATAATACAATAGATTAAAATACTGCACCACCGGGGGCTCCAAATTGGCATTGCTGTCTGCAACATTTTGAAGTTTCACCTCGTTAGAGTTGTCTCGCACAATGTTGAGGGGTTTCCGAATGTTTTCTGTGAACAGATCAACCAACTGCTTTCAGGAGAGAGAAGATGCTCAGCCCAGTGGAGACCATACCTGAATCCTATTGTTAGTCCCAACCAAAATAGACCTATGAAATCAAAGAGATTTGCACCATGTCGGATCAATTTACATCAGAAGGTGGAGAGACATTGCCATGGGTACAATTAACAGCTTTGGGAATAAATAAACTATCTGAGGACTGGAGATATTTGCTAGGGATCCCTCTGCAGAGGTTGAGAAAGGATGGGATATAAAAGCCCTAAATAACAAACAAACAAACAAACAAATTCAGGCCTCTGTGCCTGGCCTGATCCAATTGGAGGAAGAGCAGGATAGAAATGATGATCAAGAATCCCTATACTGTACCCTTGCTTCTTCCGGCACATGTCCGTGATATCCCCCAAAGTAGGAGAGGACCACTGGCTTCCTGCTGGTGCTGAATTTCTGGGCTCCAGGTTAACAAAGAAGCCCTTTCCTTTGCAAGTTTGTATGCCTAGGGATGTTTGCCAATAGCATGATGTGCCCCACAGAAGATGAGCAAGTGGGAAAAGAGATCTAATAAATAATCAATGATCCCTGCCACTTCCCGGGATCCTTCACCATCCTTCTGGTCTCTTATTATGCTCACCTTTTTCTCCCTTGCAGATTTCTTGCTGCGTTCTTTTTTGACTTGAGAGCTGGGACTCCTCTGCAAGGTTATCGTTCCTTCAAGGGTTATCGTTCCTTCAAGGTTAAGATCCTCCTCCACCCAATTTCTGTCGCACAGTGAGCCACAGCGAGACTTTTTCACCCAAGTGTAATGAACTTTTTGTGGGCAAGAGGTCTTTAGGAGGTTAAGCGTGAGGAAGAGGAAGAGCAGCGGAGGAGTAAGCGAGAACGAGACAGGTTGTGGTCTACCTCAAAAATTGAAAGATCTAAGACGGGTGTCTTCAAACTAAGGCCCAAGGGCCGGATATGGCCCTCCAAGGTCATTTACCTGGCCCTCACTTAAGGTCAACCTAAGTCTGAAATGACTTGAAAGCACACAACACAACAACAACAACAACAAACAACAATGACATCTTATCAGCCAAAAGCAGTCCCACACTTCCCATTGAAATACTAAAATGTTTGTGTTTCTTAAAATTGTTCATTTTAATTATTGTATTGTTTTTAAGCGTTTTTTGCACTACAAATAAGATATGTGTAATGTGCATAGGAATTCATTCATGTTTTTTTTCAAACAGTTTGAGGGAGTGTGTCCTGGCCCTCTGTTTACAAAGTTCGAGGACTCCTGCTCTAAGACATAGGGAAGCTGGAGAGAAGATTACCCCATTCTCTGAGAAGAATCCCTGGCCTCTTTGGAAAAGCAAGGTTTCCCTTCTTCCAGTCTTCTGGGACTTCCTCTGTTCTCAAGGAATTCTTAAAAACAATTGCAATTGGTTCTGAAATTACTTCTGCCAGTTTTTAAAATGCCTTTGAATGCAATTCATCTAGTCCTGGAGATCTGGATTCATGTAGATTAGCCAGGTATTCCTGTGCTGCCCTTTTACCTCTTTGGTGCTGCACTTCCCCTCCTGCATCCTCAGCTCCATCATCCCCAAGTGGAGCCCAGTTTAGCTTTTGGGTGAAAGAAGACTTCCGAGGCAAAGAAGGCGTGGAGTCGATCTGCCTTTTCCTGGGCCCAGTTAGCATTTCACCACCTTCGCTATTGACCTATCACCTCCTTGTTCTTCCTTTGGCTACAGACATCACCAAACAGCCCTTGTGATTGTTTTTAGCCTCTTTAGCAAGCCTGAGCTCATTCGGCGCTTTGGCTTTTCTAAGGCTCTCAATTGCCCTATATCCCAGGACCTGATCCCAGGTGATCTGCTTTGAATCTATATTAATAAAAATGTCATATTCGTTTGTGGGATTCACAGAACTCAAAAACCACTGGGGGAATTGACACCAAATTTGGACAGCGCACACCTAACAACCCAACATATGTCCTTCACTCAAACATTTTTGATGTTGTCATTTGGGAGTTGTACCTGCTGGGATTTAGAGTTCACCTACAATCGAAGAGCATTCTGAACTCCACCAACAATGGAATTGAGCCAAATGGAGCACACAGGACTCCCATAAACAACAGAAAACACTAGAAGGGTTTGGTAGGCATTGATCTTGAGTTTGGGAGTTGTAGTTCACCTACGTCCAGAGAGCACTGTGGACTCAAACAATTTTATGAATGGACTTCGGCTGATCGGTGCCTCAATGAACCACATGTTCCCATTTCTGAACTTCAGGTGACAGGGACCCCTCTTTCCCCCACCCTGCATGTCCCAAATTTCCTTGTGCCTTTCCTTAGTGTAAAGGGTTCCCCACTTTGCCCCCATGAATCCCTATATGTGTATCTGAATAACCTCTATAATTTTATATATATCTGTATAAAATGTGAAGCAAGGTGACCTTTTTATGAACTTTGACCGGCATTCCAGGGCCCAGGTGTCACAACCACCTGGGTCTTCGTTTTTGTTAAAGGACTTTGCAAGCATTTTCAAAATATGAACAATAGACAAATGGGCCCTCTCCTCAAGCCTCGGAGGGTCAAAGACCAGGCCACTTGAGGAGTAGAAAGCCCTTGGACATTTTATTTATTTGTTTATTTACCTTACTGTTCTCAGCCCGAAGGCGACTCACAGCGGTTTACATCCTAATCACTCTTCACAAAAGACATTTCCCCTCTCCGAGGAAAAGGGGATGTTGCCGCTTTCCAGACAATGACATTCCCCCTTCCCAGTAAATCAAATTGGATCAACAGATCCCATCAAGATACCAGTATCACTGCATCCTTGAACAATGGGCTGGCTCTGAAGGTCCAGATGAAAATGCTGTTTTAGAACCTCATGTCAATAACCAGATCAGGCTTGAGGGCTTCCAGCAATCACCCAGATCGTTTATCAATAAGGTCCAGGAAGGGCCATTCATAATCCCATCATTAAGCAACTATTTCTCTTATTTCT